TCAGCAGGTCTGGTTCAGGACCTCAAGCGAGAGCTTACTGGAATGCCACCACCAACCCATCTCTCCTCGCAGCTGGAGTTGCCATTGCCACAAATTCCCAACACAATAACAAATAAAAAACGCTGGACACCAGCTACTTGTGAACATTCCCCCAAAAGCTGTGAATAACACACATGTTAAATTAAACCGATGACTATTCACTGCGTAACAGTTAATACACCACATCTGTCTGCATCACACTGAAGATCATGTTGAAAGGCAGAAAACAAAAGTTATAGTAAAAACAAGGGACCCTTTTAAAGAAAAATGTTTAAAAGTAAACAAGCTAACCACTGCAGAAGACAACTAAGTGGATAGGAAGTTTCCTTCTTCCTGACTTCTTGATGCTCTCCCAGAAATTACTACCAACTCCAAAACAGCTTCAGAGCATCTGAATTGTTTCCACTTGTATTAGCTAAGACGACAAAGGGACCAGGAAGGTCAGTACATTTATAAGACACCGCTCCCTGGGTGGGTGGCAAAGTTCTTCTAGAACTGCAGAGCATGAGACAACCACCCTTTGGTGCTGCCACCTTTTAACTGGCTGATATCGCAGGGGAAGATGTGAACAGCAGCCTTTAACTTGCATGCTAAACGTGACCCGATTCCTCAAGCGCTCGGTGCTGCTTACCATACAAAACCACTAAAGACAGCCAGCAAGCTTTTTATCTGGGGAGGAAAGCAACGTAGCTTCCCAAAAGCGCACACCGAAGGCTGAAGGAAAGCTTTGGCTGGAATAGTCCCTTCTTGCCAGGCGAGGCTGGTCAGTTCTCCGAACCGAGCGCCGCTCCTGAGCTGGCAGCACGGCTTTCCAAACGGCAGCCGGCAGCAGAACGCACGCTGCAGCAGACCCACGCGCCATCACAAGGGATGCCCTGCTCACCAGGGAACAAATTCGGTGTTTGGTAGCCATCAAATGCCACAGACCAGGTGCACAGGTGACATAGACCTGCCAAGACAGTACACACACCGAAGGATTTGCCTTACACCTCACCTACCTCAGAGCAGATCCTACAGAGCTCCTGCAAGGCCGAGTCTATCTGGGGCCGCCCAGCCATCCCCACACCATTAGCAAGGCTCACTCGGAGTCGGGCACCAGAAGTCCAAGGCTTCCCCAGGACACAACGGGCTCTACACAGCGTGGTTGCTCATAAAAGGTTTTTTGGGGATTTGGCAGTCAAAGGAAGCTGCATAAAGCTACAAAGAAATATCAGCCCCAAACAAACACCTGAGCTCTGAGGACCGGCCTACCCATCTGTGCGCTGCTGCTAGACACTTTCCTAACACACGCCCATGGGGCAGATGTCTCTCCTCATAATCAACGCCTCAGTCTCCTTTTTTTGTTCAACCCAATCTACAGCTGCAAATCCTAACCAAAAAAAAACACCAAACAAACAAACAGAAAAAAAAAGCCTTAAGAACTTTCTGTCTTTCAAATACCTTGCTTGTAGCTGTGCACTATAAGAACCTGTACACCCTTTGGGGGAAGGGCTGATCAATAGTTTCTCAAGGTGGAAAAAGAAAAGTTCAGGAGACCACATTCTGCCAGGCCTCAGCACAAACGACAGAGAGGTGAAGACACAGGTACCTCTTGAAACGCCCCCTCTGCAGGCCGTTCCTATCCACAGGAGCCATTCCTCTGTGCTATAAAACAGAAGGAACCAAAAAACACCCTCCAAGTCTTCCTTAGGTAACATCTCCCTTCAACTTACTGACTCATTTGCAATTTTCTGTTCCACTTTTTGCCTAGCTTATATTATACACAGTCAACAAGGCAAGATAGAAACCCAACATTACTTAGTTTCTCTTTTTAGCTTCATGACGTCTATCTGCCAAGATGAACTTTCTAGAACATGCTAGGCTGGCTGCCTCCCACGGCACCCCATGAAGTACTTTCTCCAAGGGAAGAGCATCTCTCTAGAACCTCAGTGCTTGCATTGGTTTCCTCTTTCCTTCTGACCCTGCAGCTAACATCATTCTCTCTTAGGATGAGAAGCTGTCCCTTTTTTCCCTTAACGTTACTACCATCCAAGTGTCTGCAGAAACACGTCCTCCATCTACTCACGGATCCACAAGAGCCACACCAACAGACTGGTGCTCCCAGAAGGCACCCCATAACTCCTCTGTGCTGTTCCTACAAGGCAGACAAACCTTAAACCCACATCTTATACAAAAGCAGTAATTAGGCTTAAACTCTGTCTTTTTGATCCCTAATCTGCCTTGTAGCTAAAGACAGAGATCAGGTCTCTGCCTGGTCAGATGGATGACTGAGCTACTTTCAGTTTCACACACCACAACAGCAGGTTTTTAAGTCACAGGCTGAATGCTTTAATTTAAAATACGGTTAAAAAGCAAGTATCTAACACTCTACCCAAACTCATTTTATTGGGCTGAATGCATTAGCAACGCCTATCTGTACCCAGAGATACATTTCCTCTTCAAAAGCTGCCTTATCCTTCCTAGAGGCTTCCACTGCCTGATCTTACACCGAAGTAACAAGACACTCTCCAATACACAGATTTGTGTAAGTTCTGGAGTGCCTTTGTCTTCTGCACTGCGAAGACCTCCCGAGGTATATTCCTATATTCACGCATTCCTGTCCCACTTCCAGTCCTCAATTCCTCAGATTTTAATCCTTGTAATGCAAACAACAA